AAGGTGTTCCGTAAAACTTCTTTTTTTTTTTTAAGAGAAAGTGAGAGAAAGAGAGGGGGACAGAGAGAAAGAGAGAATTTTAACATTTATTTATTTTTTCTTAGTTCTCGGCGGACACAACATCTTCGTTTGTATGTGGTGCTGAGGATCGAACCTGGGCCGCACGCACGCTAGGCGATCGCGCTACCGCTTGAGCCACATCCCCAGCCCCATAGTTAGTTAGTTTTATGTGGTGGAGAGGATCAAACTCAGTGCCTCACAAGTACTAGGCAAGTGCCCTACCACTGAGCTGCAGCCCCAGTCCTGGATCTTTTTTAATCCAATCTTCCAGTCTGTGTCTTTCGATGGATGAGTTTGGGCCATTAAAATTTAAGGTTATGATTGCGATATGATTTATATTCCTGGTCATTGGGTTTATTTCTAGTTTTTGTTTTTAATTAGTTTCTCCTATGGTTGATTGTTTCTTTAGTCTTCCCTTTGCTGATTTTCACTGTTCCTTTTTTTTTTAACTTCATCTTCATGAAATATTTTGTTGAGAATGTTATGTAGTACAGGCTTCTTAGTTGTAAATTCTTTTAATTTTTGTTTACCATGGAAAGTTTTTGTTCATCTTTAAATCTGAAGCCTTATTTTGCTGGATATAGAATTCTTAGTTGGCATTCATTTTCTTTCAGAGCTTGGTATATGTTATTCCAGGACCTCTTAGCTTTGAGGGTCTGGGTTGAGAATCAGCTGAGATATGAATTGGTTCCCCCTTTGTAAAGGGTTTCCCCCATTGTAGGATTGTACATTCCTTTGGTTTGTGTCTCCACGTCTTCATCTATCCCCATAAATTGTAAATTTGGTCTTTTCATGTTATCCCATAGTTCTTGGAAGTTCTGTTCATGGTTTGTTAACATCGTCTCTCCGTGGTCAACTCTGTTTTAAGATTACATATTTTGTCTTCATTGCCTGAGGTTCTGTCTTCCAGTGGCCTAGTCTGTTGGTAATGCTTTCTATTGAATTTTTAATTTTTTTTTCCGAAAGAATTTTTTTAATATTTATTTTTCTAGTTTTTGGCAGACACAATATCTTTGTATGTGGTGCTGAGGATCGAACCCGGGCTGCACGCATGCCAGGCGAGCGCGCTACTGCTTGAGCCACATCCCCAGCCCGTCTATTGAATTTTTTTTTTTTTTTTTTTAAAGAGAGAGGAGAGAGAGAGAGAGAGAATTTTTTAGTTATCGGCAGACACAACATCTTTGTTGGTATGTGGTGCTGAGGATCGAACCCGGGCCGCACGCATGCCAGGCGAGCGCGCTACCGCTTGAGCCACATCCCCAGCCCCGTCTATTGAATTTTTAATTTGGCTTAATTTGGCTTATGGTTTTCTTCATTTCAAGGATTTCTGTGTTTTTTGTTTTGGGGGGATTTTTTTTTTTCCACAATCTTTGCCTTTTTACTGAAGTGATCTTTCTCTTCCTGTATTTTCTCTCTGATTTCATTTCTTATACCGTCCTTTACTTTGCGGACCAATTTAACTCTATACATTGTAAACTCCTTCCCTGACATTTCTTCCATGGTGGTGTCAATGGATTCTGTTATTGGAGTATCTTAGTTTGTTTGAGGCGATTTGTTCCCTTGCTTTATCATGTTGTTTATGTGTCTACCCATGTAGATTAGTCTTGATTGAAAAGAATTTGGCTTTGACTTGAGGGACTGGGTTTTACCGTGTCCAAAGAGGACTAGGCAAAACTGGATTCCTGCTTTATTTGAACACCAGACTTGGTGGTTTTTTTTTTCCCCCCTTGGCTGGGGGTTGGGGGGGTGGTACCAGGGATTGAACTCGGGGACACTCGATCACTGAGCCACATCCCCAGCCCTATTTTGTATTTTATTTAGAGACAGGGTCTTGCTGAGTTGCTTAGCACCTTGCTTTTGCAGTGGCTGGTTTTGAACTCATGATCCTCCTGTCTCAGCCTTCCGAGCTGCTGGATTACAGGTTTGCACCACCATGCCTGGCTATCAGACTTATTTTGCAGTAAACTGATAGAAAATTTGTCGTCCCCCCCCCACCCCCGGATTGAGCCCAGGGGTGCTCTGCCACAGAGCTACACCCTCAGCCCTTTTTATTTTTTGAGATAGGGTTTCACTAAGTTGACCAGGTTTGGCCTAGTATTTATTTGCAATCCTGCCTCAGCCTCCCAAGAAACTGGGATTACAGGCATATTCCACTGTGCCCAGCTTATAAATGTTTTTATCTTCTGCTTAGTTTTACTTTGTCATGTGCTTATTTCAGGTAAATAAAATTGAAATTCATTATGCCAAGACTGCCAAAAAGATGGACATGAAGAAGTTGAAGCAGAACATGTGGCGTTTGCTGACAGAGTTCTCCAGTAAGGAGGCAGACGCAGAGGTAACGGTGCTCCGTGGCTCTCTAGGAGCCCAGCCTATGGGCAGGAGGGCTGACATCTGTGGCTCCAGGATGCTTGGGAGTGGTCAGTGGTTTCACGGCAGAGATGCACTGAGAGCACAGGGAAGACCTCACACCTGTGAATAAAGTGGACCCAAGCAGGCCACACAAAAGACAGTTCAGAGGGCAAGCTGGCCCCTGGGATGTGGCTGTCACATAGCAGCTGTGTAGCCATTGACCAGTGCTGCCAAGAGGAGCAAATGAGCATCCATTCACTGCTGGCAGCAATTTAGGTTGAAATGTGACCTTTTGGGAGGATAAATCATAACCATATTTCAGGTGCTATTCACTATTTTGATCTAATACTTTTTAAGTTGCAGATGGACATAATACCCTTATTTTATTTATTTTTTTAATGTGGTGCTGAAGATCAAACCCAGTGCCTTACACATGATAGGCAGGAGCTCTACCACTGAGCCACAGCCCCATCCCTGATCTTATACTTCTGATTTAGGGAATGTATTGTGGGTGGGAAAGTAGTAGAAAAATAATCATGCTGTCAGATTCTGTTTCTCCTTGAGACCAAGTTGAAGCCTTGATTAACTTGGTCCAGGTCAGTTTAACTCTCAGCTAGTCTGCTTTCCTCCGCTTCTGGATCTTGCTTACTCAGGGAATATTCTGAACCCTACGAATTCAGCCTCCTTTTCATACCTTCTCCTTGCTGAGAAGTGAAAAATGTATGTAGTTGTGAATATATCCAAAAGTTTCACTGTGTTAGTCAGTTTTTCACCATTGTAACAGATGCCTGAGACAATCAACTTGTGAAGACACAGGTTTTCTTTTGACTCACAGTTTTAGAGGTTCTGTCCACAGTAGGTTGGCCCCATTGCTTTGGGTCATGGTGGCGTATCAGGGCCAGGCATATGGTGGAGCAGACCTCTCACCTTGTGGCTGGAATGTGAACAAGAGAAAGAATAGGGCTTAGGATTCCAGTGTCCTTCAAAGGCATGTCCTAAAGTCCTGAAGGTCTCCCACTAGCCCCCCTCTAAAAGTCTCCACCATGTCCAGTAGAGTGAACCTGGGAATATTAATACTTTGACCTTCCGGTGAACATTAAGATCCAAGCTATGGCTGGGCACGGTGGTGCACACCTGTAATCCCAGAACTTGGGAGGCTGAGGCAGGAGGATCTTCAAGGCAGCCTGGGCAACTTAGAGAGACCCTGTCTCAAAATGAGAAATAAAAAGGGCTGGGGATGTGGCTCAGCGATAGAGTATGAGTTCTTGGACTACATACCCCGCCGTATCACAAAAATTAAAAAAAAAAAAAAAGTGAGCCAGCCTTTAACGTCTGATCTCTAAATATGCTTCTTCTATCAGGCAAACCATAGTGAGACCAGAAAGGAAGAGGCCTTGGTAGAAGTGGCTAACAAGAAGATGCTGAGCGGGCTCACAAGGGACCTGCAGAAAAGGTGTGTGCTGGCAAACTTGGGGGCCCACAGGGGCTGAGTGCTTGGCGGGGCAGTTTGGGGAAGGCCCTCTGCTCACAGCCTGCCGGGGGTGTTTCTCCATAGTAGCTGCTGCGTCCGCTCCACGTTGGAAACCAACATTAAAAGCCCCTTCTCCTTGCCAGTGGCTGGAGTGCGACAGAAGATATTTTATTTCCAAATACAAAACTAGAAAACCTGCTTCTAGGATGCAGTTGACATGTTTCTGGGTCTCGGTAGTGTTGTCATCGTATCTGTCTGTCGTTCCTACCCACGGAGAGCAGGGACCTACTAAACACTGCCCCTCTTTTCCAGCCTGCCTCCCCTCATGGCCCAGAACCTCTCTATACCTCTGGCCTTTGCCTGCCTCCTGCACTTAGCCAATGAGAAGGTAGGTCACCCGGCACAGCGCGGAGAGCCTGAGTGTGCTGTTTCTGTGACGCGGAGTGGGGGTGGGGGGCTTCTCATGAGCTCTCCCATGGGCGACGGTCGGGGATCCTGATTACACCGCACCTTCAGTTCAGAGGATTAACCAGACACCTGAATCCACACCAAAGGCCATCAGATCTGACCTGCAGTGGAAACAGTGCTGAGGGCACAAATGGGGAAGTCTCGTGATGAAATCGTGAGCAGTCCCTGTCCCCAGGAACATAAATGCTGTGTCCTTCACTGGGCCTTAAACACTTCAAAGCCAGCCCCTCTCAGAGCCAGAGTCAGGACATGTGGAAGACATAGCAGGAACATGGTGACAGTGACAGGAAGCCACCGCAGGAAGGGGCAAACATGGGGGAATGGCCAGGAGAGTGGAGCTGAGCACAGCGAGGAGGCCTGGGAAGGAGCTCTCTGTCACGAGCAGGGGGTTCTCAGGTGCCCCTGGCTCAGCGTGGCAGGCTCCTGTTTGTGCCACACTGGCTGCAGCTAGGCAGCTGGGGAGTCGAGAGCAGAGGGTGCCATCTTCTCAAGCCCACAGCTTGGGCACTGCTGGACCCTTGGCATCCTGGTCCCCTGCCAGCTGGTCCACACCCATGAATTTTGGCATGGCCAGGGCTATAGGCTGGGACATGGCATGTGAGGTGACACCACTCCTGGGCTGGGGTGCCACAGGTGTCCCACCACCTCGGCCTCTAAACCTCCTTTAGGATAGTGCCCTGCCCAAGGGAGTGGTGGACCCTGGAGGGTGGTGCTGGTCAGAACACTGAAGTGTGGTTGGGAGGGGCCGTTAGATTTTAGTGGAATGACAGCACAAGTGGGGTGTGGAGGAGGCACCCAAGCTCTCCTGCATGCCAACATGTGACCTTTGGCCTCGTGAAATGAGCCTCGAGGATTGGCTCCGTGCCCAGGCCAGAGAGAGCTCCCCTTTAGGGTCGGGGTGCCTGGCAGTGCAGCTGCCCCCACCCCAGGTGCACCGCCACTGGAAGTCTGGGCCTGTTTTTCTCTTGCTCATTCCTAAGCTCACGACCTCACTGAAGAGGAAACTATCCAGTTGGCAGAGCTAGTTGTGGTTTCAAGTGGAGAACCGGAAAAGCTCAGGAGAGCCTGAGCCAGGCCTGAGCCCTGCTTGTCTCCAGGGCTAACCAGCAGTGCTGCCTGTTGCTCCATAGCCACTGAGCTGGGTACAGGGTACACACTCATGAATGATCTGAGATACTTGGGAGGCTGGAGTGGGTGGATCTTCAAGGCCAGGCTAGGCAACTTGGTGGGACCCTGACTCAAACCACAGAAAGGGCTGGGGATGTAGCTCAGTGGTAGAACACCCCTGGGTTCAGTCTCCCACACTTCAGAAACAAAACAAAACAAAACTGAGGCCTGAACAGAAGAACCCAGCTTAGCTCCCAAGAGGGACTGATGATGCACCCAGCCCCTTTGGATGGCCATCACCCGGGGAGCATTGAACTCCCATGGCTACTGGGTGGGAATACAGCGGATGGCGACTGGTTCTGTGGAGAGGTGCTGTGTCCTGTTCAGAAGCCTGTGAAGGGAAGAGTGGCAGTCACTCCGGACCTGCCCCAGGTTGTGGGAGGTGTTCTGGGAAATTTGTCCTGATACATTCTGAGCTATCTAATGTCAGATGGAAGCTTGTGAAGAAAACAACAGATACATAGTTACCATTTCTCCAGTAAGAAATCTGCATGTGGCTCTGAGGAGGATTCCCAGTCTGAGGGCAGCAAGCCACTTGTCTGACATTGAAAAGCATCGTCCTGGCTGGGCTGGTCAGGCGGGGCTAGAATCTTATCCTGCTTGTCTCCTTGGAGGGAAACACCTGCGGATCTACTGGATGTGTCCTTCCAGCATCCAGGATCCTAGAGCAGAGGCTGCCTCCCAGGCCCAGAAAGCCTTCTGAGTCCCATTGAAAAGCTTAGCAGCCTCCAGTCCCCATTGCTCAGGAGGCTGAGGGGGGAGGCTAGCTTGAGCTCAGGAGTTTGAGGCCAGTTGGGCACCACAGTGAGACTCCATCTCAAAAACACAAGAGTGTTACTGATTTCACCCAATTGCCCCAGTCCAAGGATCAGTCCTAGGCCGAGCGTCTGCCCAGAAATCTGCCCTTCCCTGGAGAGCAGCTTTATGGTGGGCAGCACTTCTGACTGGGTCGCTGCGGCCCCCACTGCTCTGCCCCCAGCTCTGCTCCCTCCCAGGCTTTGTGCAGTGTGCTGGGGCCTGGCTTTGGACTTTTGAGATTAAGTTTGTAACATTGGCCGTGACATTTACGACGGTAGTCCATAGGGTCTGTGATAACTCAGAGCTTAGAGATACCCAGAGGAACATTCTCAAAACCCTTCACAGCAGAGTGTGACCTTGGCTGTTCTCTAGCTTTCTGCCTCTGGACTCTTCATCTACCACCCTGGTAAAGCCTCCCCTCAGACACACAGTGTGGTGGGGCTCGGGGTGGGGGATGGACTGGGCCCTCTGCCTCCAGGGCTGGCTGGTGAGCTTAACCTGAGTGACTTGCAGATCCTGGCTGAGATCCTGCAAGGTGTGATCTAAGCTCCACCTCTCAGTGCACAGGGGCAGGGATGTTAGTGACATTAGGTAGGAAAGGCTTTGGACAGTCATTTAGGCCTGAGGGAAAAGCTATCTGGGATGGAGGTGAGAGAAGATGGGTGATGGGTGGGAGGAGAGTTGGGGTGGCCTGTGCAGACGGGAGCAGGATGGCTGCCACGGCTGAGGCAGAGACGGATTGTGCGGCAGCGGGTGCTGGAGGAGGTGCAGGTGGCATGTCATGGATCCTGGTGGCCTCCCTTCTGCTTCCCTCGGCTCCTTTAAGGTGCGTAGCCCAGATCATGGGCCCTTTGCAGTGAAGGTGGTGCAGAAACCAGAGCCAGAGAAGGCTGGCTTTCTGTTTTGTCCCCTGCAGGTGGTAAGGACCAGGAACCAACTCGATCATCAAATTACACTTGCCGTGGTTTAATTGTCCTCTGACTGTGGGACAGACCTTGTTCTTTGTAATCACTATCTTGTCACTGCAATTAGATTTTATTTCATGATTCTTTATTCTCAGTATACCAACATCTGGCTTGATCTTCCCTCAGAACCTAAAGCTAGAAGGAACAGAGGATCTTTCTGATGTTCTTGTGAGGCAAGGAGACTAAGTGTCCTGTGGAGGTGGCAGCTGGAGGCCCATCATCCCCTCGGTGGCCAGGACATCTCCACTCCAGTGGAGGAAGATGCCAGGGTTTGTACCAAGCTGGAGCCAAATCTGCTCTTTATGTCTGTGTGTAGTTTTAGTCTCCTAAATTGGTCTGTGATCTTCCACACTTTACTCTTGTAGAAAATTATTTTTCAGTAGGCACTCAATGTTGTCCCTGAAGAGCTGCCTAATCTGTGTGCATAGAACACACCAGATATACACTTATAAATGTATATACGATGCTTAAAAATAAAATCATTCTCGCAAAATGTGCCCTGGATATTTGACATTAGCATGAGACCTGGCATTACCCACGGGGGATGCTCCCGGTGGTCCAGCCACCCACATTTTTTCCTCCAGGCCACCTGGCCTGTCCTTCATTCTGGCGCTGAAGGACAGGCCAGGTGGCCTGGAGGAAAGATGAGGTTGGTGTTTAAAATCATGACTCTACTAAAAGATGGTGACAGTGGTTGATGACAGCTGGGTGCTCACTGACCCCTTCTGTGGGCCCCTCATTTGCTTCTCTGCATCCCTGTGGGAAAGGGACTGACATCATCTGGGTGTGCCCAGGAGGAACAGGGAACACAGGGGCGGCTGGCTACCTGTCAGAGCTTGGCCTCGACTGGGGTGTGGCTGCAGAGTCCTCTTTCCTGGGCACGCACTCAGCCATGGATGAAGATCAGTGCCAGAGTTGAGCGCCCAGCTCCCCAGAGTCCACGTGCCCACCAATGCAAAATTTCTTCCCCTGCTCTTGGGGACTTCTTTTGCAATTTGGAACGAGACTGGTATTGATCCCAGTAACCTCGACTGGGCCAGGCCCAGGTGTGCACCAGCACCCGTCACCTCTCACTAGCAGAGCCGAGATCTCGGACTCCAGGCCAGGAGTGGTGGAGTGTGTAACTGCCGATTATTCCTGATAATAGCTTGCTCCTCTGCCAAAGCCACATCACAGTCCCCTTGCCTCAGGGATGTGCTTTCCAGATCGTATTTGAGCTCTTGCCCATTCAGCTCCACTGAGTTGGCTAGGGGCTTGTGAACGTGCTACATAGAAAAGGCCACTGTGCCATGGGGGCAAAGACCCACTGGACCTGTGGGGTTGGGGACTCCAGCACATTGCCCTGCCAGGTGTCTTGAACTGCTCACTTGCTTTGTAATTCTGGGAGTAGAACTAACGTCCTCTCCTGCCACACACACCCTCAGAGTGCCTGCTGGGCTGGGCCTGAGCTGCCTGTGTCTGTCTGTCTCTGTCTCTCTCTCTCTCCCTCTCCCTCTCCCCCTCCCTCTCCCTCTCTTCCTCCCTCTCTCTCTCCCCTGCCCTACTGCCAGCTTCTTTCATGACTCCCCTTTCTTTTCCCTCCACCTGCTTCTCCCAAGCTTCCCTCATTTACATGCTTGCTGCGTCCTGTACAGTGAGTCTGGCCCCATATAACAGGAAACCCAAGTAAGTGGGCACTGAGGTCTGAATGTGTCTGCTCCAGAAACCACGTTGTGGAAACCTGGCCCAGACAGCAGTGTTAGGTGTGCACTGTGCAAGTGCACAGCTCAGGAGGTGGCGCCCCTGGTGACCGGGATTGTTGCCCTTATAGAAGAGACCCAAAAGTTCGCCAGGAGGTGGGAACACAGCAAGAAGGTGCATCTGGGGCTCAGTGGCAGAGTGCTTGCCTAGCACGTGTGAGGCACCGGGTTCAATTCCCAGCACCACATAAAAATAAATGAATAAAATGTCCATCAACATTTTTAAAATATTAAAAAAAAAAAAAAAGAAGAAGAAGAAGAAGGTGTCATCTGTGAACAGGAAACAGACTTTGCCAGCCAGCGAATTTGCTGGTGCCTCCATAATAGACTTCCAGCCTCCACAATTGCGAGCCTTAAGTTTCTACTGTTCTTCTAGTATAGCGGCCTGAACACACCAAGACAAGCTCACGTGGCAAAATCTTCATTTCAGTTACTAGAGTTTTCAACCATAGGATTTTCATTTTAAGGTTTTTATTTCTCTTTATATTCCCAATTTCTTCATAGATTGCATGTTTTCCTTTAATTATTTGGTATTTGTTTGTTTTGTTTTTTGGTACCAGGGATTGAACTCAGGGCCACTCGACCACTGAGCCACATCCCGAGCCCTATTTTGTATTTTATTTAGAAACAGGGTCTCACTGAGTTGCTTAGTGCCTTCCTTTTGCTGAGGCTGGCTTTGAACTTTGTGATCCTGCTGAGCTTCTGGGATTACAGGCATGTGCCACTGCACCCAGCAATTATTTGTATTTTAAATTCATTGAACATGCTTATAATAGCAACTCTGAAGTCTTTGCTGTTTCCTACACCTGAGCCTTGTAGCATCATTTGGTAGCTTTTTGCTGAATATAAAGTTCATGCTTATGTTTCTCTTTGCAGGTTTAGTCATTTTTGTTTGAAACTTGGATATTATAGATAAAATGCAGTGTGTGAGTACCGTCTGAAGGTGCTCGTATTTTCAGAAGAAGTAACTGAAAAGCAGTTACTTTGCCCAGGTTCAGCCCTCAAGCTTCGCATCCTTCACGCTAGGAGGATGCTGACCTCTGCTGACAGCCACCAACTGTGCTGTTACTCTAACACTCATCCCTGCAGCTCTTCCCTCTGCCTGCCAAATTTGGAGGTTAGCCATGCCTGTGGTCAGAGACGGGGCTCATCTTCTAGGGATTCTCCCCTCTCCAGCTGCTCTGCCTTGTGTGGACCCAGTGCTCCCAGCCCATCCAGCTTCAGCTTTTACAACAGGAGATGGATGTTTGGCAAAAGAACTCGGAGAGGAGCATCAGACTCAGCTCCTGTGTGCATCACTCTTCTCTGGGGAGTCTTCTCTCGCCAGGCCCCAGGGGTTTCCCTGTGTGCAGAGATGACCGGGCAGCTGGGGAAAGCAGCTTGTGCTCAGGGTTGTTTAGTAAAAAACAAAGGGAGAGGTTGAGAGGCTTGTGGGAAGCCCATGGTGGCAGTTGGGCTCTGAAGGTTTTCCTGAGGAGCTGTTTTGTTTGGCGTGTGTGGTTCTAAAGATAAAGTTTGTTTCTTTTGTCAAGTGGCTCCTGAATTGTGCCCAGCCAGAACTGCGGCAGTCTTGTGCCTTCAGAGGGTCTCATACTGCCAGGCTCCCCCTCTACCCTCCTACCTGCTTCTCCTTCCCTCCCCTCTGATCTCTGGTGTCTTTAGCCACTAAGGCTGGTCTCTCCCACACCCGTTGCCATGGGCACTGGGCAGTCCCTGGAGCCCATGGGTGGAAAGCAGGTTACTCACCTCTTTAACTCCGATCTTCAGATCAAAAGAATTACAAGCCACTAATACTTAAGCAACCAGACCTGAGGCACTGTACCCACAGCTGGACCTGCTTGGGTTGATGACACTTTGGGCTCCATTTGATAATTGATGGGATGTGACTTTGGGGAGCCTTGGGGAAGAGGAAATGCATTTTACATTGAGAGTGCTGCGATCACAGAGCCAGCCTCCAAGATCACTGCCAGCTATTGCAGAGCCTCCAGCGTGTGCATTTTTTTGTGGTCTGCCCCTATGCCGGGTTATGCTCCTGTGTCTCCAACAGTATTGAAGAGATGGTGGTGTGCAGCTTGCCAGCTGGGTGATAAAAGACACTGCATCTTCACACTGTAGCTCTTAGATTAGAGGAAGCCATTGCCACCCAACAAGGGTTTGGAGAGGCCTGTGGGGAACAGAAAGAGGCTTCCCGCCAACAACCTGCCCCAACTTGCCATCCACATGAGGCAAGTGATGTAGGTCCTCCAGCCCATCCAGTCTCAGATGACGCAGCCCCAGTGGACATCGTACCTAGAGCCTCACGAGACACCTGAGCCAGAGCTGCCCAGCCGAGCCCCTGCAGAAGGCTGAAGCCAAGCCCTGCAGTGGGTTAGCCACAGCTGCCCTGCTGCCCTCTGGGATATAAAGTAGTGCTGTGCTATGGCTTTGTCTGGTATTTATCCAACCACCAGTATGGCTAGGCATTTTTTTCCCCCATATGTTAAATGGCCACTCGAATTGCTTTTCTGTGAAATTTCTGTTCATATTCTTCATTTTTAAAATTGAGATGTCTTTTTTGCAAATTTGTGCATTCCTGGTATAAGATAGACTGTATTTTAGAGAATGATCCTGCCATGGCTTGGTTACATGTCCTTTAAAGGCCCATGGGTTAAAGGGCTTGGTTGCCAGCCTGTGAAACTGTTGGAAGGTGGGGAACTCTTAAAAGGCAGTGCCTAGTAGGAAGAGGTGAGGTCACTGGGTTGTACTCTGGAAGGGGATATGGAGTCACCTGCGCCTTCTGGCTCCGCTTCTAGGAGGTAAGCAGCTTCCTCTGCCGTACACTCCTGCCCTGATGGGCTGCCCACCACAGGCAGTGGGGCCAACCGACCCTGAAACCCTCAAAATGGAGCCAACATTAGGTTGCTTATCACAGAGATTTTCTTACCATAATGCAAAGCTGGCTAACACAGGTCCTTTGTCCTTTATATAGTAGGTAGCATTTTCCCAGTCTGTTTCTTTATTAACTTTGCTTATTGGGATTTTTTTTTTTCTTTTTAAATTTGGAGACAGGATCCCACTGAGTTGCCTTAGGGCCTTGCTCAGTTGCTGAGGCTGGCTTTGAAAAACTAGCGATCCTCTTGCTGCAGCTTCCAGAGCCTCTGGAGTTACAGGTGTGCAGCAGCCTGCCCAACTGAAGAGTATGATCTTATAACAAGGAGTCTCCACCAATCAGCAGTTGAGCTTCCAGCCAGTTACCAGCTGCAAACTTCCAAGACATGTTGGAATAAGTTTTGTGTGACTCTGTAGCCAATCAGGCCATTTCTGCAGGTCACTTGCCTTTTCTTGGCTAGAAATATTCCCACCTATGTTGTGAACTGAACTCTCTGAACTGCTCTTGGTCTTCAGCTCCCTGATTCATGAATCTTTTTTCTGCCCAATTAAACAATGTCTAAGGTTTTTCCTTTTTAACATTGGAACACCCCCTTTTCTTAACAGATTCTCATAGGAACTATTTCTGAATTATTAGTGCCAGCCATCTGGTTATGTCTTTCTTCACAGATATTATATTGTACGGTTTAAAAATGTTCTTGAGGGAATCGGATTCCCCACTCCTGGTCTTTTCTATGCCTTTTCTCTTGATCATTTATTCACCATGTAAATATAGTCCTATGCAAGAATGCCACGTGCCTTCCATCTGCTCAGATTTTATGTGCTAAGGCTGGTTTTTTTTTTTTTTTTTAATTTTAATATTTATTTTAGTTTAGTTTTCGGCGGA